CAACATAAGTACTTTTGGTAAAATAAATAGAATTGTACTAGTTACGTCAAAATAGAGTATTCATCAGTCAGTTCGTCAATGAAGCTATGTGCTCGTTTCAAAGTGTAGATTTATATGAAGAAGAACGAGCAAGAATATATTGTCCCGCAGTTGTTGTAAAAACCGAGTAGTGACTATACATTCAACAGAGACTAGGCACACCTAAACTTTTAAACTGGGACTTCCAATGGCAAACCTTTGAAACATGTAGAAGAGACCAATACGTCTAACAGCAGACGGACTATTCATGATGAAAAATTGTGCTCTTGCGCTTTAAGTGATTCAGACAGAAAGCTTTTCAGTTGATAGCGTGACAATCGCCATGTCGTTTGCTCATAACTATGAGTCCCGAACGACGCTTGAAACTAGTCAAGTTACCTCGTCAAACAGTTAAGTGCGTAAATCATAAGTTGTAGTCTGTTGTCTCACAGAACGATCCGATAAGTAGTTAATTATGAATTCATAATTAAAAATGACGTATAAACGTGGTATATTCAAAATATTCCGTCTACTATCTGCCGAGTAAACACAATATCATAATAAAATACACAGAGCTAAGATAAAAATAAACTTTACTAGTCTATACTAACAAATATAAAGAGGAAGTATTTGAATGTTTGTTTGCGCTGAATAGACTCCAAAACTACTGGACCGATTTGAATAATTCTTTCACTATTGAACAGGTTACTTTTTAGAGATATAGGATACTTTTTATCCTGTATTCCTACAGGATAGAATATCGATAGTAATCTTTTAAATTAGGTAGTACGTTCTCCTAACACATCAGCATTAAGAACGTTTTTCTTTTTTTGGAGTCGGTTAAAAAAGGGCTCCCTTTCGCGTTTGTCCGTAAGCGATAATCTCAAAAACTATCGGACGGATTTTCATACAGCTCTCATCAATAAATAGTCTGATCCCTGAGGAAGATTTAAGTGTTTTCTTTAGATTTGATAGGGCGACGCTTGACCACCATCTCGCCTAGTGGTACCTAAGCGATGATGTGGCCAGCGATGGAGCACCCCTCCAGTCCTGTGGTGAAACGGACTAGGGTGAATAAGGTTGTGCAATTTTCACGCACAGTCACCTAAATATATCCGATAGAAGACCGAAAGCCTTGCGACTTTACGCCTGTATTCGAGGCTTATAATTTATTACGACGTTGATCTCGCGTAAAGTTAGAATCAAGGAAAATAAAACCTAACACAACGTTTAATCTTGGAGCAATTAAAACAATATAGTTTAACATGTTACTAGTTAATTCGTTTAATTGACTGATAAACGCTAACAATGCTTGACTATTGGAGTTATCTATACGATATTTTGAAGTGCCTAACGCAGTTAGTGTACTGATAACGTTCAAGTGGATTGTTAAAAGTGTATTTAGATTATATTTTATTGAAGTTTTGTATAGATAATAGTTATGGTAGGAAGTTGGCAGTAAACAGTTTTCGGTTGAGAGTAATAGTTTATGCATTCTAGAGGTATTTTCGTTGTCTTATTGTCAGCCACGTAGCACGCCTGTACACGTGGTGGCCCGGAGGTTTTTTTAAGGGGTGAAAATCATCGAATTACTGATTCCGCCTGGGTGAGGCGGGAAGGACTCTTACTGACTAAAAACCACCCCGTTCCTACTCCTGCACTTCGAGCCGGAGCCCCGGTAACCCGTTGGGTTCTCCGCGACGGCCCGGAGGTTTAAGACGAGTTCGAAACCTACCAACGGCAAGTAATAATGTGACTTTTTTCGAGTCATAGTTATGCACTTTCTAAGACTATTCAGACACCACAGACAGACTGCCGATTGGCAAACGGATCTCCACAAACAGACGGTGAAGGAAAACTTTGTGGGGAAATCTGGGCTTATAATTTGTCATCACAAGTTTTAAATCGCTAACCCGCATTGAGCAATTGTGGTGTTTGCTCCGCAGTGGGCATTTATAGGCTGTTGATGATGATAATGATGAACTACTGATATCCTGCGACCCTCTACACAAACCTAGTTCCTATTGAAAAGGCAAATTCAGCAAAGGAACCGAAGAACTGACAACGTTAAATACACATTCCAACGAAACACATCTAAGAGGAAGCGAAGCAGTTCTAACAACATGTTTTTGCCATTCATCCAGTGTCGTATCAACAAACAAACTCCACATCATAAGAACAATTACCTTACGTCACAGGCCGACGATGAGTGCCAATATTAGCCGCCATTGAATCTCGGACCGATAGGCTAAACTGCATTTGTCCACCGCTATTGTTCGGCATGTTTTATTATCATATAGTTTTGGTTTCGAGACGTATGTGTGTGGTCCTATAGTCCTGTGGTAGCTAGAGTTTAGTTGGGTTGGGACTAGGTATAATGAGCTACTGGACTACATTGTCAGCAGACATCCACTGCTGACCAATTGTCTTCCCTTAGTCCTCCAAACCGAACGACAAGTTGTTACTTGTATCCTGAGTGATTAAAGTGGAGAGTTGATCATGCATGATGTCTAAGTAAAAATAAACCAGTTAATGATTAACAACAAAATGAGAGATCGTAAGCTTGAAATATGAAAACGACTAAAATATTGTCCCGAACGTTGCCTAGTCTAATACAATTTTGAATGTACATATATACCTACCCGATTTCCGTCATTCAAGATCAAAGGTCCCAAAAACTGATTTTGTAACCCTGATTATCAATCTTTACGCCACAAGACCTGCTATTTACCTGCTATTTAAGAAGAGATATTCGGTCAGCATTGGATGTCTACTGACGATGTAGACCTCATCATACTATCAAAACTATCATTTTTTTCTTTTCCTCTTACAATATCTTCGTTGCGGGAACCAAGACAGTTATTCATGTCCCTGAGACGCGCCGGACTTCAGTGTTCCGGTGTTTTCATGGTTGTATCTACTGTAGATCCTTGCTTACAGGAGTTGCAGCGGTTTTGGGAGGTTGTGGCGGGCTTGTGCCATTTAAAAATACATTCGTAAGCATTGTTTCACGCCAACTTTATCCGGTATTACTCCGGTTCAGCCGGCTATTCATGCCATAATACATTAAATTGTCTGCGCGTGTTGCCTAGACAGTCAACCACGCTACATCGAGTTAGCGTGCACAGTAAAATGAGCGTTCATTAAACTGTCAAATACCAAGCGGTCACCGGTGACCGCAACCTATTGTTCTATAATTGTGTCTACAAAACCGGTACTCGACGAGTTAATTACAGTAGGTAATCTTATATCATTTGGTTTATGTAAAGAGAATACGTATAATAGGGTTAAGAATACTAAATTACTTTTGAGAATTACTCGTTAGTTGTGACTGTGATTCAGATTTCGTATTCAGATAACAAAATATTATAAGTGATGACTTAAGTATACCTCTTTGTTCTTTCCCTAAGTGATTCCCCAGCCGACAAGTGTAGTTAGAGTATTTTCAAAATACATACTTTAGTTAAGATAGTCAAGAGCTAACATATCATAATATCAGGCGTTTTATCCCCGAAGGCGTAAGCAGAGGTGCACATTACGGCACTTAATGTGACTGTACAATGTAACACTCACTTTTCACTATTTATGTTATGAGTCCCATATAATACGGGGTGAGCTTATTGCTATATACCTGGGTAATTGGGCATCCGATACTTTCGTGAGACGTGCATCGGCGCGTCGCGGGTCGCGGAATGCTGCCCGTGGGTATAAGCCTCCAGCATGGCTTCTATTCTTCTTCTATAAACTAGTCGAGTACCTCGTCACGTGAGTAAGCCGAAAAACAGGCAATAAATACTTAACATAATGTATCATTTCTATAATAACTATTGTGGGACATACTAAATTAATGAACTTAAAATAACTACTGATAAACTAGCATAGCTTTTATTAATATTTCACTTGAATAAACCGGTGTTTTTATTTATTCATTATCTATATTAATAAAATAGAATTTCCGTTGGTTAGTCTCGCTAAAACTTGAGTACTGCTGAATCGATTTGGCTAATTGTGGTGTTGAAGTGTTCATGGAAGTCCAGGGAAGGTATAAAACGTGCCAAAACAATTCTTAGGCAGTATACATATATAAAAATGAAACCCGTTACCCGTTGTCAAGCCATAACTTGAGAACGGCTAGACCGATTTGACTGATCTTTTTTTTGTTGTGTTTGTTATTGTCAGGAGAAGATTCTTACGATAGAAAAAATCCTGAAAATCCTATGGGAACGAGAGAAAACGAGACTGCGCGTACAAAGTCGCGGGCAGAAGCTGGTCAAGAAATAATTTTTCAAATTGGTAAAGTCATTTCAAAGTCTATTAACCTTTTGTATGCCGCCGGTATATAAGACACAATAGAAAACAGATTGTATCTCGCTTACATCTGTGTACCACGGGTTAACGCAAACAAACAAAAAAATATTTTCTCTTTATTACCTATATTAATATACCTACCCGGTATCTGTTAAGACAACTCATATTGTTTTTTTTTTTCTGTTTCTGCCTCATAGCAATCTGTGCAAAGACAATGCCTCTGTTTTGGTCTATGACTTATTATGGGCGTAGAACGCTCCTACTGGATGATTACTTCCATCTGGAAGCTCTCTCTTTCAATTTGATAAGAAAGAATGAAAAATAATTTATTCGCCACCAGACATGGACCACCGAATAACACACAAAATAACATTGAAAAACAAAATAAAAAACAAAAAGAACATAAAAAAAACAGCAGTAAAAATAAAACAACAATGAAGGCAAAAAAAAAACAAAAAAAAACCATAAAAAAGCAAAATAAAAAAAACAGGGTGGCAGCATGTCCACGACGAAAGGGCTCGCCAACTCAGTCTAAGCTGGGAACAGTAAGTACCCAACACTGGTTTTCAGTTGGCACCCTTGCAGTGACGCACTGACGGAACCAACGAAAAATAAGTATATAACTGATAACTCATAAGGTAACATAATAAATCACCTATGAGGTAATTACTGAATTAAATCAAGAGAAAACAATATTAAATATAGAAATTGAATATAAAGCCGTATACAGAAATAGTTATTCATTTTATATGTAGGTTATTATAATAATAGTAAATGATTTTCCTTGTGTCCGTAATTTATTGAATATTATTTTATGATTTACCTACCTCTAGGTAAATTATAACTTTTTGCCACCTATTATCAGTTGAGAACTGACAGTGTGACAGACAGCCGCGGAGAACCTAACGGGTTACCGGGGCTCCGGCTCGAAGTGCATGAGTAGGAACGGGGTGGTTTTTAGTCAGTAAGAGTCTGACACTCCCTCCCGCCTCACCCAGGCGGGGTGAAGTCATTCGATGATTTTCGCCCTTTAAAAAAAACTACCTATATGTGTATGAAATGAAATAATTGATAATTTTTAATAGTCACTGGTTGATTGACTTAAGATGTTTCACCAATTCCCTAAATACAATTGGAATGGTATCTTTTATATATTTGATGGGATGATGTTCGACCACTATATTGCCTGGTGGTAAATGATGATATTATACTTATTAAAAAAAGATTTCACTATTACACTTTTGGGCAACCATGTAATTGTAAACCAAAGGTCAGGATGTGCTAAGCGAATGGAGTAACTGTTGAATCAACATAGTAACTATTATAATGGTTTTAAAACTATAAAATTCTTAATTTGAAAGTAATACACTCACCTTATGTTACGAGCAGATAATAAGAAACATCATGCAACACTTAAAAATAAAAGAAAAAACATTTAAATATTAAAACAACCACAAATTGTTATAAAAACTCTTTACTAGGTTGTCAGTTGAGGAAAAAAATTAAAAAAAAAAGGAACACATACAGACAACATCTAGGACAGCCTGCTACGAATATCGCCTCACATTCTGACCGCAGAGCATCCAGCTGTCGGTGCAAACACCGAAAACTCGCCTCATCCTCGATTTTCACTAATATACGGCAATTTATCAACATAAAGTGCCATTTAGTAAGATTCACTAATCACTACACTAAGTTTGAAGCACTCAAACACACATCGCATCGAAAAAAATTAAATTCTAAATTCAAATATACGATTTTTTCTTGTACATAGACAATTTTTGTTTTCTTACAATTTGGCTTATTGTTGTTACACTGTTAAACACTTTGGCACTCAAGTTTTCGAAATGAAATCTCTTTTTGTACTACAATTGGCAACGATACGTATCTAAGAGACCTGGATTTCGAAAGTATTTTTGCAATAAAACGTCTAAACGCAACTGCTTCACGGTCCGTCGATGATCACAATGTTAAAAGTGAGAAATAATGAGAAAAAAGCACCACTGCACCACTATTTCGACACTTTAAAAACAATATTTACACCGAACTGAGCTACAAACAAAAATAGCAACTCCTATGGCCACGAACGTAAGGCAATGAACAGACGTTTTTCCGTGTCCGTTCGATGATTCGTGATCGCTTATCGTTAGCGAATAAACGAATATACTAATACACAGTAAATTAATTCACGAAAAAGCTTTTTTTTCTAATGAAAATGATCGCGAAATATAACTCAAGAGCGTAATTCGATTTGACAGACGACACTCCCCCCACCCCGCTCGCGGCTTACTGCGGGTCGATGACGATGTTGCCAGCGCGCAAACATTACCTCACCGATGCGGGAGAATTTTGACATAAATAGACCGCCGGGGAAAATGTAGTGGTAAAAATAATATTCATTTTTATTGTTGCGTTGAAATATTTTATTGAGTTCTATAAACGTAGTAGAGCGGAGAGATAACTGTTTTATTGAATATATTTATCACTGATCTCAGTAAGAGGCTGGAATGATTTCTATTAATTTTATCTCAAAATCTTGATGCGAGTCAATGCTTATCGATGATTGGTTTGTATCACAGATGTTGATTTGAAATACATTATGGAGATAAATTGACAAATGTAATAACTAATTGTAAAGTAAGTTTTTTATATTTGATAGGTCAGCGTTTGGCCATTCTCTCGCGTAGTGGTAACCGATAATGGGACTTAAATGGAGTATCGTCTTTCAAAGGTCATAAGATTGACATTCAATGAACTACATGGTAGCTGTATTACACATAAGTATGTGCATATTGCAAGTAAACAGACGCATTCGTAGCTGATTAGAATAATAAATAAACAAGGCGACAAACTTGTGAATCAAGTCACAGAAGTATGTTTTCGATTACAAAATTGGAATGTTTCCTTAAACTAACGGAAATTACGACGGCTCATTAATTATCTAATTGATATATTATAAGCTAGAACAATTTTGATTCATTGATAACATTACACACTTAATTTCTGCGTTATATTTGAATACATATTACAAAGCTGAATAGTTTGTTTTATCGCGCTAATTACCGGAACTAGTGGATCGAATTAATTAAATCTTTTTTGTTTGGATAGTCCTATACGCGGGGCCTATATCACAAACAGGTAAGTATATTAGATGCACAATGAGCTTATAGTAGACACTAAGGAGTTTATTTATTTTTATTATCAACAAAAAAAATACAAATTCGTCGGAAAAGCCAGGAAACGGCACAAGAGCAAAGCCACGACAAGTCGTTAGCATTATTACGAGCTTTGATGAGAGAAGAAAGTAACTAAACATAAAACTGACGATAATTATAAACGCTTCCAATTTTGATGAGCTATAAAATATTACATACTTATTAAGAGAAATTAATGAAGTTACAAAGTTGATCAATACTGTCATTATTTCAGGCTTTCTCTGTACGTTTATGGTTATATTTCTTCAAGAGAGAGATAGCCATATTGTATAGCATAACAATAAATTTTATTTAAGTAATTTTACAAGTCATACTGCTAAGTATGAGCTAACTGGAAGTAATGTAATTTAGAAAACATATAGTTTTATACGTTCTAAAGAAATAAGAAAAGAATGTATGAAAGAGAAAGAGAATAGTTTTTAGGAATTCAGGATTACTAAACTTAATCAACGGTGCTACCAGAAATTTTATAGGTCACACTGAAAACTGGAACAACACGGGATACTATCAAATTTCCCAAATTCCGCATTGGCATTTATCACCAAATTTCGGTCATACATAATTGCCAAAACTACGAGATTAATACGCATAACGCAAGCAAAAAACACTGTTTAGTTCTAACTTCTCTGAAAGCTTTATTCTTATCAAACAGCAGAGAATATTACAGGCTCTATTCATATGCAAAATACCGTAGAAAATTCATATTAGCACAGACAGACCGGGATTCTAAATACATACTAGTTAGCAGATCTATGAGACGACTTTCTCCGACCGCTTAATTGATTACTCCACCATTTCTACTGGTTAGTCAGCAATGGTGTTTTATGACGATTTATATTAGAGTAATGACGTCATCATTTTACCTATAATACGTAGTTGGCGGTTAAAGTGACTCATTTTATTATGATTGATATTTTGGTGAAAAAATATTAATGGCTAGTTTTCCCGTAGTCACAATAATATTAGTCATATAATGACAACGTAACTTATTATTATGGTTTTCGGCTTACTCGCGCAATTTCTTGACGAGGAACTCGACTAGTTTCCCGAGAGACTCATATTCATGATCAGCATTCCGCGACCTACTACTATGATATTATATGTTATGAGCCTCTAAGATAGCTTGAAACTAGTCTAGTTCCTCGTCAAATAGTTGCGAGAGTAAACCGAAAAACATAATAATTGGTTTAGTATGTCCCACGAAAGTTATAATATAAACAACGTAACTTGTTGGCTAAGTGGAGGGGCTGTCGCGGAGAACCTAACGGGTAACCGGGGCTCCGGCTCGACGTGCAGGAGAAGGAACGGTGTGGTTTTAGTCAGTAAGAGTCTGACACTCCCGCCCTTAAAAAAAAAAAAAGTTGAGGGGCTGCTGCGAAAGGGAACTCGGATTTAATAGTTTGGCAAAGTATTATGTTAAATTTATCGGCATATCATGCTCGCCCTTTAAAATATAGGCCAATAAAACTGATAAAAAGTCGTGTCCGTGTTCGAATGGCGTTTGGCCACCATCTGAGCACTTCTACTCACTTATTCAAATAAAAAGCATACTGGTATACCATTTACCGAACAAGACACGAATAATCCCTTCAATTAAATCCTTACACTACTACAACAGAACCCAATCTACGCATCAATGAACTCCGGACTAGATATGAACAACAAAAGGAGGGGAGATGAGAAATCCATTCCAATTCTATTACCTCATTCCTATTCAATATCTGGAAGCCAGAAATTTAATATTGCGTTTAATACTGAAAGAATGGAAGGTCGAGTGGTGAGGCTTTTAGCTTCTGAGGTCGAATGCTGGGTCGCGCAAAGTGTTATTAGCATAAAGTAAAAATTAGCATTAATAGCTCAGAGTCTGGAATTCAAGTGGTTGATACTTTGTGTCTGGAATTACACCAACCTCAATTTCCATTATACCTATGATGGTACTTATAACTGGTAAAAATCTGACAGTTGATCTAACCAAGAATACCATCACACTTAGTAGGTTATAAAGGGTAGATGCTTTACGTAAACTTCTTACATTCGTTCCGCCAAATCTGAGGCCTTAGTACGAGTTTCTTTTACGTTTAAAATAATCGTAACGAGAATGCGTTCGGCTCTCTGATTGGTTGGTTCAATGGCGCCGGCCAATCAGAGTGCCGAACGCGTACTCGTTTCGAATACTTTCAACGTAAATCAAATTTCTACTAAGACCTCTGATTAAAACTGGCATTATTAAGAGGAATTCTTTAGGACAAAGAACTTTGACTAAGCTGCCCGGTGACCGCTCACCACATATTCTATTATAGACATTATTTCCGATATTTAGAGACTACTTTTGTACGAACAAATTTCGTGGATTTTTCTTAATCGGGGATTAAAAAGAGTGGACTAAGTTGGATTATAAGTGTGACGAGTAATGTTAAACGCCACATATACATACATAGTATTATGCTAACTAGCCACCATGTCTCATGGCGTCATGGCGTCGTTATTATAAAATTAATCAATAAGACTGTTGCTTCAATTTTCCTTATTGTTTTCCTTGTTCAATAGAAACGTTTAGATTTCAATTAACGTCATCGGTGTCTACAAAAACATTTGATTACTTATTACAAAACCATGAAAATTACATAATACATCGTCACGCCCTTTTGATGCCTGCTAAAGTAGCTAGAGTCTGACACTCCCTCTCGCCTCACTCATGGCGGGAGAATTCATTGAATGATTTTTCCCTCACCAAAAAACTTACCCAATGTAACACAAATTTTTTACCAATTATGTTATGAGTTCCATATAATAGGAAACGAACCAATTATATATAATACTATTTCTGCGTAAATTATCATGAATAAATTGAAGTTACATTTTCAACCTAATACCAAGAACTTTGCGATTATGATCTACCCTTTCAAACCTGATAGGGGTGACACAATGGTTATACCCGTTGTCGGACTTTTTGATCGCTGACTATACGTAATAAGCCATAGCTACCTAATTTTAACTATAGCTAGTTTGTAAGGGTTACACAACAATATTAGTAAGTTAAGAAACAATTTTTGCGTTGTATTTCGTCGTGTGAGTGAGGTGACTCGGGTCCCTATTAATTCCCCCCCCCCTCCAAACTCCCCAATCCCCTAATCCCCAACAATTCTCAAATTCCTAATTCCCCAAAGGCTGGTTACGCATTCGTAACACACCTCTGACGATGTGGGTGTCCATGGGCAGCACCGATTGCTTACTATCAGGTGATCCGTCTGCTGTTTTACCGGATTATTATATAAAAAATATCGACTATATTTTTTAAACTAAAGATTTATCGAGAACAGCAATGATGCTTCAAATCAGACGTAAAAAACATAATGAACATTTCAGCTTCATAATCTATAATTACACTATGACATGTACATAAATAAACCTATATTCCCAACGTTGAATCAAAAATCGCTTTAATTATTCAAATCACACGTAAACAAACATTCAGTCTTCAGTTTCATAACTTTATTAATACAGCGACGCTAGACAACTCATCTTGGGCTCGCTGCCATCGCAGCGGTAAGTCCCCTCTTTGAGGAGTGGCTTGAGAGACGCTACGGCGTCCTCACCTACCGCCTGACGCAGGTCCTCACCGGACATGGAAGTTTCGGGAGGTACCTGTGTCTGATGGGGCGGGAGGAAACGTCCGGGTGTTATCACTGCGAGGACCGCCCTGAGGACACGGTGGAACACACAGTGGGAGAATGCCCTTCGTGGGCTGAGCACCGCCGTGTCCTCAGGGAAGTGATCGGCGATGGCGACCTCTCGCGTCCGGGCCTAGTGCGGGCCATGATGCGGAGCGAGGGGGACTGGGATGCCGTCTCCTCCTTTTGCGAAGCAGTCATGCTAGCTAAGGAGGAGGCGGGACGCGTGAGGCAGCGAAGCGCTGCCTCCTCGCAACCCAGCCATCGCGAAGGACACACCGGGCGTCGGGGATCGCGGGACGATCTCCGGCCACCGTAAGCGCGGGCCTGCGGACGGCGAGCATGGGTGGCTCCCCGTCCGACCAGAAACAGACCCGAGC